GCCATCCCCATATGGGATCCGAACCCATGGCTTTGGTGTTATCAGCACCGCACTCTACCGAGTGAGCCACGGGCTGGCCCTGCCAGCCTTTTGAAAAGGGGGCAAGGGAAGGGCTGTGACTTCTTGGCCAAGGACTGAACCACTGTTGTCAGATGGTGTCAGTTGTCCTAAATGTCCACTCCTCTGCTCCCAGCCCCAGGCCAGCAGCCAGGATGAGTACCCCCTGCATCCCGGGCTACAGCAGAGAGCAGAGAGACCCTCAGCTGCTGCTTGTCTGCGGGCCGTCCTCAGGAACGGAAGGAGATGGTGTGCCTGCCCCGGCAAGGCTCACTGCACGCCTGGGCGGGGCCCGAGAGCGAAAGGGAAACCAGCCAGCAAACCATCTTCGCACCCAAGGGGACCTGGGCTGGGGTCTCTATGAACCTGGCCTCCTGCCCCCCTCCAGCCTGAGACCCTACCCCTCCTGCCAGGCCTGGCCAGAGACCCCAGAGGTTGGGGGCTGCAGGCTTCCATGCATGCATGCGTGTGTGCGTGCGTGTTTTAATTAACAATCTCTAAGGAGAGCACCCCTTTGATGATTAGGAAGGACATGGGATGGAAGCGAAGGTTTTATTGCTCATGGCATGTGTGTGTTCTCCAGAGACCAGCCTCCTCCTGGAGCCCATCTTGACACCCTTTGTTTTCTCAGTCTGTGGAGCAGAGGGGAGAGGATTAGTTGGAGGTGGGGCTTTGTTTAATTTGGTTTTTGAGTCATCCCACTGAGAGAGGCCTCAGGAAGCAGGTGCAGGGCATGTGCCCCACTCGCTGAAAGTGCCCATGCAGGCCAAAAGCACAGCATCTGGGCTCCGACTTCCCGGCTCCACCATTTACTGGTGGGTCTTTGCACCCCTGAGCCTTAGCTCCCTCATTTGTAGGAGGGGAAAAATAAAAGTCCACCTCCTGGTGCTTCAGGGAGGGTTAAATGAGTTAATTCATGTAGAATTAATTCAGAGCAGCTCCTGTCACCTGGGCAGTGCTAGCTGCTCTTACCACAGTGACCATAGTAATTATTATTGCTGTCATTCCGTGAGGGACATGGGAGGCTGGGATAGGAGTGGACAGGCTCTGCCTGGTCTGCTGGGGACACGTGGCCCTGATCCTAAGGTGTTTCCAAGTGGCTCAGTAGTGACTAAAACCTGGCCTAAACCAGTGCTGGGTGCATGAAATCTAATTCTGAGCTTCGGGTTGGGAAAGGTTAATGTCAAGCAGATAAAAACCTTATACTCCAGGGTCCGCTTGATTTGTAGTCATCTCCTTTGCTCCTGTTGTTACTGTTCAGGCAGCTGAGTGCTAATGTGCATCATGCTCCTGCACCTCAGCCCGCGGGAAGAAGGGTGCGTGTCGCCAAAGGATGGGCTGTGGCAGATGCTATAAGTTGGCTGGCTCAAAAGCCAACCCACTGCATTTCATGTTGGTTTCCTCTCCTCTAGAGGAGAAGCTAAAAACGCGCCATCCTGGTCAGCTGGCTTTGCAGCTGGAGGTGGCCCTGTGACCCCGTGGTGGCAGTGAGAAGTGAAGTGACATGTGCACACTGCTGCTTTGCTTCCTTCTTGTCCCCGCTTGGCGTGTGGGCACAGGGCCTGCAGGGTCATTGTCAAGGAGAACAGAGCAGAAAGAATAAAGGAGTCTGGGTCCCTGCTGGCGTCACCGTGATTGTACCAACCCTGGGTTACCAACACCCAGACGTCTTTTTGCACAAGGCAAATAAACCCCTTATTCAACTTAAACCAAAAACCAAAAAAAATAAACCCAGCCTGGAATCAGCTTGTGTCCTGGAACTACCATACTGGTGTGATCTGGGGCAGATTACTTAACCTCTCTGAGCCTCTTTCTCTTTTATAGAAAGGGGATAATAATCATGGTTACCTGGCAGGGTTACCGTGTTAACCACGGAAAAAGGGCCAGGAGCGCACATGGTGAGCCCTCGGGAATGTGGACTATTATGATTATTGTTGGGCTTGAGCTACACCGAGTGTTTGGGGATGGAGCAGCTGAGAGGCTAGAGATGTGACTGTAGCAGCTGCCTGGGACACTCTGGGCTTTTTGGGTAGAAACCTTTAGAAGGACTCAGGTTGGGGGGTAGAGGAGGGAGCCAGAAAACCAGCCTGCCCCCCACCTGCCCGGCCTTCCCAGCCCCTTTGGTGAACTTTTCCAGAGGCTCCTGTGCCACACACAGATGCCCAGATCACCCACACTGCCGCCTCTGCCTGAGGAATTGATCCAGCAGGTCTGGGGCCCCGGGCATCTGCATGTCTGACAGGTGCTGCAAGTGGCTGAGAAAGCCTGACAGAGGCTGTCCACAATGGGGAGCATGAGCCCCTCCCTCCCAGGGCCCCCCATCCCCCACTGTCTGCCTGCCCTGCTGAGCTCACAGCTCTAGCAGGGAAGGGCAGAAGAAAAAAGAATTTCTGCAATAGAGCCACCTAGTACTATTCCTGAGCCTCAATTTACCTACCTGTAAAAACAGGCCTGTGCTACCCTGGGGACCTTGACCCCTGCCCCAGCGTGCAGGCCAGATGAAGCATGGAAAAGTGGGATGCAGGAGGCCAGGGAAGCGAGTGGCCGGGTGTGGGGGTGCTCAGGTGCTCACCAGGCCTGTTCTCCAATTCAGTAACCAGACACACGAGGAACAAGGTGCTGTGAGTAGGAGCCATCAGAACAGCCAGACATCAGACCCCTGAAGACCTGCGCTACTGGGTGTATCAGACCCGATTATAAAATGATGGTGCTCGTTATGTTAACAAGAGGGGGAGGAACCTTCTCCCAAATGACCTTCCTCTCCTGTCAACAGACACCAGCCCTCTGGTGGGCCACACGCCCTCCGGTTACGGGACCCTGACGATAGAGACGTCAATAGATCCCCTCAGCTCCTCAGTTTCATCCGTGGTATGTGGGCAGAGTCGGGCCAGGGGGCAGCTTCGGGTGGGATTCACACCCAGGCCCACCCTGACACCCTGGCTCCCTCCTCCCGCCCTGCCTCCACCTAGGCCTTCTCTCACCCTCGTTCGCAGAGGCTCAGCGGCTACTGTGGCAGTCCATGGAGGGTCATAGGCTATTACGTCGTGGTCTGGATGATGGCAGGGATCCCTTTGCTGCTGTTCCGGTGGAAGCCGGTGTGGGGCGTGCGGCTGCGGCTGCAGCCGTGCAACCTGGCCCGCGCCGAAACACTCGTCATCGAAATAAGAGACAAAGAGGTGAAGTCTGGCCGGGGCTGGGGCTGGGAAAGAGCAGCGGAGGTCAGGGTGGAGGGATGGAGGGTGCCTGGGTTCTCAGCCCAACCCAGCCACTGACTTCCCGTGGACATTAGGCAGGTCATTCTCCCTGGGCCTCAGCCTTCCCATCTGAGCAGTGGGCAGAAAGGGCTGGTTGGGTGGTCCCTGAGGGGCTTCAGCAGGGGACACCTGGCTGTGGGACGGGACCTGGGAGGGGTGGGGAGGGGTATCTTCCAGGACTGAGGCTGCACCTCTGTGTTCCAGGATAGTTCGTGGCAGCTCTTCACTGTCCAGGTGCAGACCGAAGCCATTGGTGAGGGCAGGTGAGGGAGCCCCACTGTCCCTTCCCAGAAGCCCCTGCTCACCCCACCCCTTCCCACAAAGACCCTGACCCGGGGGCCTCCCATCGCACAGAGAGAAAGTGGCTCTGTGGGGACAGGAGGTGCTGGGGCACCTTCTGGAGCTTCAGAGTAACCCCCACCTCACTCCTTAGCCTGGAGCTGCCCTCACAGTCCCAGGCAGAGGACGGCAGGAGCCACGCGGCCCTGGGGGCAGTACCGGAGGGTGCATGGAAGGACACCACCCAGCTCCACAGGCGGGAAGAGGCAGTGAGTGGACGGCTGGGTTCTGGCCCCATCTGGGCCTCAGTTTCACACTCTGTACAATGGGAGGGGTGGACTCCATGCTCCCCAGGCACCTTCTGGTTCTGTTGTCCCAAACGTGGGATGCTGTCTGACAACTTTACACTTCCAAGCCTCTCCCCGCCTCTCTTATGACACTGGTCCTTGTCCCCTGCCCCAACACACATGCTCCTCCTCAGTCCGGGTCTCGCCTCCAACCCAGCCTCTCTTCTCTCCACGCAGAAGCGGGTACTGCGGTACTTCCTCTTCCAGGGCCAGCGCTATGTCTGGATCGAGACCCAGCAAACCTTCTACCAAGTCAGGTAGCAGTCAGGGCCGGCGTGGCTCACAACACCTCCCAGACTGGTGCTGGTTTGGGCACAGGAGGTGGCATGAGGTGGCCTGTCCTAGACCCCCCTCTCAACTCTGCCACCTTTGTCCCCTGAAGCCTTGGGCAAGTTACTGCACCTCTCCAGGCCTGGGGGTCTGTGTTTATAAATAGGAGGTAAAGATAATCCCCGCCTCCTAGGGTTTTTCTGAAGGTGAAAAATGTAATAATTTAGTAGAGCTTGGCACAACATGCAGCCTACAGTGGTAACGCTGCTGTGATTCAGAGTCTGGATTCAAACGATCTGCTTGTGGTGTAGTCCCTGCTCTGCCAGCTACTAGATGCTTCATAAACGTGAGCCCATGACATGCCCTAGTTTGAGTGCCCAGAAGCAGACCCCGAGATGAGGCTTTAAGGGAGGCACAGGGAGTTTGTCTGGGAGGTGACCACAGACGACTCGGGAAGACAGGCAGGAGGGAAGGAGCCAGTGGAGGAATGTTGTGGTGCCAGTTGCCACCGTGGGCACCTGGGGCTCAGTCCCCCAGGGGTCTCTTTGGGCCAGTGTAGAGTGCACACCTCAGGGGCCTCAGCCAAGGAGGGAGGGAGCGGGGGATACTCAGCCACCACCTCTGCTACCATTCTGAGTCTTGGGCTGCTCCAGGGGCACGAACCCTTTTGCACTCTCAGCTTTCTGGGCTCACGGGCACAGTATACTCATGCAGCCAGGAGGAGTCCTCGAGTAGAGACAGGTGTTGGCAGGAAGCTGCTGTGTCGTACAGAGGTGAATGCCAGGGTGAGTTGGGGTGGCACCAGCAGCCTGTGCTTCAAAGTGAGGGTAACAGCAAAAGTCGCTGGCATGTTTACCACGTGGTAAGCGCCAGGCACTGTCCACAGCTCTCTGCCTGGCTTGTCTCATGCAACCCACCCGTAGCCCAGTGAGGTAGGTATTGTCACTGCCCCCATTTTGCAGATGAGAAAAACTGAGGCACAGAGAGGCGAAGTGACTTGCCTAAGGAATCGTCAGTGTAAATAATGCACTTGTCCCTAAATAACAACTACTCTTGGCACTAATAACATTATTACCATCGTCTCTCCTGTTCCCTGCCTTGGTGAGGTGTTGTGCGGCCCAGCCACAGGGACAGAAGGAGAAAGCTGAGCCCAGAGTCCATGAGGGACCTGCTTTCTCCCGGGAGCATAGTGGGTCATAATTTCCCTGGCCTGCACTGGGTGGGGGATTCAGAGCTCAGGCCTGTCACTCACACAAGTGTCCCCTCCCCACCCTCACCAGCCTCCTGGACCATGGCCACACCTGTGACGACATCCATCGCTCCCGCTCTGGCCTCAGCCTCCAGGACCAAACTGTGAGGTGGGTGCTGCCCTGGGCCAGGGTGCCCCAAGAGCTGGGAAGACCACCCCCACCCCCCAGTGCAGCTGCTTTCCAGACACCTGCCTTCTCTGAGCCTCAGTTTCCCCACCTGTAAAATGGGGAGCTTCATCACCCCAGGAGGGTCCAGCTGGCACAGCCCCCTCCATCTGACAGCTTGGCCACATCCCCTCTTACAGGAAGACCATTTACGGCCCCAACGTGATCAGCATACCGGTGAAGTCCTACCCCCAGCTGCTGGTGGACGAGGTAGGGCTGTCACTGGGGCTTGCTGTGTGACCTCAGCCCGCGGCTTGCCTCCTCCTGACCACTTTACAGTGGCAGACCAGACCAGGTGTCCCCTTCCTGCATAGTGGAGAGCCATCTCAGACCCTGCCCCAGCTGGCTCGGTCCCCAAAAACCAGGTGGAGGAATTGGGGGTTCTGCTGAGGGCTTGGGCTGGAGATTGGAGCCTGCGGGTGGGGAGCAGAGGCTGAGAGGCGAGTCCACGTGGCACCTACACAAGCCAGGAGACGAGCTCCAGAGCCTGTTCTCCCAGCAGCCCCATGAGTAGGGACTGGGACTCCAGTCTGTTCTCACGTATGGAACCCAAGCTTCAGAGAGGGGGCATGACATGGCCAAGGACACATCTAGAGGAAGATGTCAACATTCCAGCAGACGCTGGAAAAGGGAGAGGTCCTTGGGGTCTGGTCTGATATAAACCACAGCCTACCACTTAGGGGGCTGTGTGGTTTTAGGCCAGTGACTTAATGCTTCTGTGCCTCAGTTTCCTCACACACAAAATGGAAGTGACAATAGCACCTGCCTTGTGGAATTGTCATTACCATTGTATGACACTTAGATAAAGTGCTTAGTGGGGGCTCAGTAAATGCCTGTGGCCTCTTAAGAGGGGAAGCTGGGGGCTTGAGGACTTGTGGTTGAGAGGGATGGGATTAACCAGGGGAAAGGCTTGGCTTCAGGCCTGTGGCAGCCACCACGCCCTTTACTCCTGTGGGCACGAGAGACCTGGCCTGTGGCTGGGCTGCCCGGGACGTGGCCCTGACGCTGCCCCCCTGCCCCTCCCCCAGGCACTGAACCCCTACTATGGGTTCCAGGCCTTCAGCATCGTGCTGTGGCTGGCAGACCACTACTACTGGTACGCCCTGTGCATCTTCCTCGTCTCCGCCGTCTCCATATGCCTGTCACTGTACAAGACCAGAAAGGTGAGTGGGCTGAGGGGGGTGGGGGTGGGGTAGGTGGGTCCCCGAGGGGTCTCCACCCACACCCACACCCATCTTGTCCCCCTGCCCACAGCAAAGCCAGACTCTGAGGGACATGGTCAAGCTGTCCATGCGGGTGCGCGTGTGCCGGCCTGGGGGAGGTGAGGAGCGTGGCGAGGCGGGGGGCGGGGGGGGCCCGGCTGAGCTGAGCTGAGCGCCCACCTGCCCGCAGAGGAGGAGTGGGTGGACTCCAGCGAGCTGGTGCCGGGAGACTGCCTGGTGCTGCCCCAGGAGGGCGGGCTGATGCCCTGCGACGCCACCCTGGTGGCCGGCGAGTGCGTGGTCAACGAGAGCTCTCTGACAGGTGAGCCCCCACCCCTGGCCCCCAGCCTCGTTCCTCCTTCCCTGCCCCCTAGTCCTCTGCCTTATGTCAAAAGTTTGAGTTTTCTTTTCTTTTCCTTTTCCTCTCAAATGTCCATTCTGGCTTCAACACTTGCTAACCCTACACCCTGAGGCCATATTGCTTAACCGCCCCCATGCCTCAGTTTCCTCTTCTGTAAAATGGGACTGTCAGTTGCTCCTCCTGGATAGGGTTGTGGGAAGTGCTTAGAGGTGCCAGTGGTGTGGAGGACACACCCTGTGTAGGTGAACTGTTTCTACTTGAATGTCTGCCTTTGGGTTGTGAAGATTCCAAATCCAAATCGCGTAGGAGAACACAGAGCACAAACGGGGCCCCTGTTCATTCCCCCATGAGCCCCTCCACTCCCCAGGGCAGCCACAGTGAAGGGCTTGCAGTGTCCTTCCCAGCCTTTTTCTGTGTATTTATATGACACGTGTGCACAGACACCTCTCTTTCGGTTATGTACATGGGATCAGGCTCTATGTTCCAAACTTTGCCTTTCCTCCTGAGCAACATACGTGCTGGGCTTTCTTCCACACATACAAAAGCTTCCCCTCATGGCTGCATAAGAGTCCACAGTACAGATGTGTCACAGCTGACGTAGCCCGTCCTCTAGCAATGAGTATTTTTATTATTTGCCATTCCAAATAATTCCACAGGAGCAGACTTATCTTGTGTGTCTCTCGATCTGTGCAAGTATTTCTTTCTCTGGGATGTGTTAGATTTTGGTAGTGGAAACCGCTCAGAGTTTACTAAAAACCACAGGATAGTAGCTTTTTTCCAGGAGAGGTTTCTGGCTCAGGTTTTAATTGTATAATAATAATAACGATTGGTGTGGTTCATGGGCACAGACCCTGAGCCCGGCCCTTCACAAACTTTTCCACACCTGGCTCATCCTCCCCCTTCTTGGGGGGCAGAGACTGTGCCTGGATTGTCCCTGAGTCTCTTCCAGAAATCTGCATACGGTAGGTGCTCGATAACATCCTCACAGGCACAGTGCACAGTAAGGGGTTGCTACTGTTTGCCAGGCAGCCTGCCCAGGGCTTTATGGAGATTAAGCCGCCATCTGCCTCTGTAAATAGATATATATTTTTTAATTAAATTCAATTGTATTCATATTTATTTTTGTGGGGTACAGTGTGTTGTGTCACTACATGCATATGCTGCACATGATTCACTTAGGGTAGACAGCATAGTTTTGTCCCCCTTAGTTCACCCCTTATCTTCCCCCCATCCCCACCCCTCCCAGCCTCTGGTAACCATTATTCTACTCTCTAATTTCTTTTTTAAAAAAAACACACAAAGATTAACATGCTTATTGCAAAAAGAACTCTTAAAAATGAATTAGAAAAATCTAAGCAGAAATTTGGTGAAGGACATGAGCAGGTAAGTCACACACCCCAAAGATACACACATGGCTAATAAGTACATTCTCGGATTGGTTGCGGGCAGGACGGGGCTGGCCCGGCCCCCGTCTCAGGATCCTGGGCGTCTCAGGATCCTGGGTGTCAGCTGGTTCCGTTGCTGGCCTAGATGTGCGGTGGGGGCGGGGCTGAGGCCCACCTGCTGTGTAAATATCTTTGTTGGTTTGAATTATACAAGCAATACATGCTTATTATAAAATAATTCCAACAAAAGGAGAAAGGCTTCCCCACCCCCTGCCCCACCACACCCATGCATGCCACGCAGGCTGCTCTGTCTGACTCCTCCAGAGATGGTTCCTGGCAAGTGGCTGCCATACCTGCTACCAGGGGGGTCACCCTGTATCTTCCTGTCTTCTGTCCTCTCTGAGCTTCGGTGCCCCTCTCTGTAACTTGAGGCTGTGATTTCTAGGTTTTTGGGAGGGGAGGTGGCTGGCCGGTATGGGGATTCGAAACCTTGACCTTGGTGTTTGTGTTAGTCCATTTCTGTTGCTTATAACAGAAATACCTGGAACTGGGTAATTTGTAAAGAAACAATATTTATTGCTTATGGTTTCAGAGGCTGGGAAGTCCAAAGTCCAGGGAACACATCTGGTGAGGGCCTTGGTGGGTGGTGACCCTTCACAGCAGCGTGGGGTGTCACATGGCAAATGGCTTAGCAGGAGAGAGAGAGCATGCACGTCTCTCCTTTTAAATCCATCAGAACCGTGCCTGTGAGACCCATTAAATTATCAATGTATCAATCCATTCACTAGGACATGGTATTCACAATCTAATCACCTCTTCAAGGCCCCACCTTTCAGTTACCATAACAGGATTTCCCACCCTCTTAATGCTGTCACAGTGGGGATTAAGTTTCAAATACAAGAAGATTTGGGGGACACAGTCCAACTCGTATCAGTGTTATAACACGGCACTCTAACCACCTGAGCTAACCAGCCAGGGGTTGTGATTTCTGGTTCACACCCGGTTACACAGTCAAGTGAGACCTAGGGTTTATGGGACAATTCTAGGCATTGCTCCTGGTTCTGTTGGTGGGAGGGAGTGGCACAGAGGGTCCCTTGTGGGCTTCATACCATGTCCCTCCCAGGGGAGAGCGTTCCAGTGCTGAAGACAGCCCTGCCAGAGGGGCCGGGACCCTACTGCCCAGAAACGCACCGGCGGCACACAATCTTCTGCGGGACCCTCGTCTTGCAGGCCCGGGCCTACGTGGGACCCCACGTCCTGGCGGTGGTGACCAAGACAGGTACGAGTCAGAAGGCAGGAACACTGGACTCAGCACCTACAGGAGAGGTGACATTGGGCAGGGCAGGACCACATACCCACCTCTGCTGCTGCCCTGCTGTAGGACCTTGGGCAAGTCCCACTTGAACTTGGACTGGTGTCCCATCTTAACAGAAGAGTTTGAACAAGACTGGGGCCAGGCATCACAATGTCAGCAGGAGCCAGCAAGAGCCTGGAGGGGCAGGGTTGTGACAGACAGGAGAGAGTCTGCCCTAAGTCTGGACTTTAAGTGAAACCATCCCATTTTTAGATGCTATCATCTAATTCTGTTTTTAAAACCCTACAAGGGCTGGACAATATAGGCCTATAGGCCGTCATTGGTGACCCCAAACTGGGTGATGGCTAACCCCTCGAGCATCGTGTCTTACAACCCCACAGGTGCAATGGGGGGCTACTGATGAGACCTGTCCCAACCTGGCTTCCCCTGCCTTGGTTTCCCCTCCCCCTCCCCAGGGTTCTGCACAGCTAAAGGGGGCCTGGTCAGCTCCATCTTGCATCCCCGGCCCATCAATTTCAAGTTCTACAAACACAGCATGAAGTTTGTGGTTGCACTCTCTGTCCTGGGTGAGTGGCCCCCACATCCCACTCTGCCAGTGGCCCCGCCCTGGGTCTCACATGTCACTCAGTCCCTCACTGTCTCCCCAGCTCTCCTCGGCACCATCTACAGCATGTTCATCCTCCACCGCAACCAGGTAAGCCTCGGGGACCAGGCAGGGGCTGCCAGCTGGACCGGGGCTGATCCAGCCTGGCACTCAGCATTCACAGTGCCTCCTGCCAGGTGCCTCTGAACGAGATTGTGATCCGGGCTCTGGACCTGGTGACAGTGGTGGTGCCACCTGCCCTGCCGGCCGCCATGACCGTGTGCACACTCTACGCACAGAGCCGGCTGCGAAGACAGGGCATCTTCTGCATCCACCCGCTGCGCGTCAACCTGGGGGGCAAGCTGCGGCTGGTGTGCTTCGACAAGGTGGGGGCTGCGGGGCGGGGTTGGTGGGGAAGCAGGACTCCACTCTCGGGTACTTGGCTAGGCCTGTGCCCTTACTCAGCAATGTCAACTGAGGGCCTGCTGGATGCCAGGTTCTGTCCAGGGCTAGAGACACTCAGAGAACACCCTCACCAGCTCCCAACCTCACCAGTTGGGTGTGGCAGATGAAATGTCCCAAATCATTTATTCATTTGTTCAAGAACTGCTGCTCTCAACCCAGGGGGTCCAGCCGTGACAACACAGAGATGTTCTTATGGATGCTGGTGTGTGTGTGTGTGTGTGTGTGTGTGTTCCCCACCAAAATGAGTGAACCAGGGAACACACAGGAGAGCCGCGAAGGGCAGTGGGTTAGGGGACGAAAGTCAACAGGGTGACACAATGGGTGGTCAACCAGGGACACTCCCTTAGGGAGGGCAGTCAAGGAAGGTTCCCCTGAGCAGGTCCCTCAGCGACCTGGGTGAGGGGCAGGTGGGGGAGGAGCAAGTTCAAAGACACTAAGGCGCAGGGAATAGCATGGCTTCCTCGGGGAACAGATGGACGGTGTGCCTGGACACAATGGGGGCGGATGGGACAAGAGCAGGTGGCCAGCACCCTTATCAGCAGAGGCTGGATGTTATTCTGAGGGCGTTGGGGCCACGGAGAGTGTGTAAACTGAGGGGCATGGGGCATGATCAGATTCACACAACTCCCAGGCTGGCAAAGGAGCCAGATGTGTAACTGGGCAGTTGGAATCCAGTGTGGGAGATGCAGGCATTCATTGACTCAGTCACTCATTCATTTAGCAGATACACTGAGTGCTGACAGTGGGCCTCTTCCAGGTACCACAGTGAGCACTTGGTGGGTGGACTGGCTGGTTGGCCAGCTTGGATAGAGCATGGTGCTGGTAACACCAAAGTCAAGGGTTGGCATCCCTTTACCAGCCAGCAAATAAAAAACAAAAACAAACGAATGGTGGGGAGGCAAAGAAGCCATGGGTAGGAACCCAGAGCAAGGACCACTGCCCCACTCTTGGGAATTAAGGAGGAAGACTTTCTGGAGTAAGTGATGCCAGACAGGAGTAGAGGGGCTTGGGGACGGTGACCCAGCAGGCAAACTGCATGTGCAAAGGTCTGGAGGCAAGAGGGAGCCTCCTCTGGCTTCAGCTCTGGTTCCCGGGGTGCCCATGGGGCCTGCCTGGCCTGGGGCGTGGGTGCCCAGCTCAGCAGGACACAGCTCATCCCAGGACTCATCACTGTCCCTCACAGACAGGCACCCTCACTGAGGACGGCCTGGATGTGATGGGGGTGGTGCCCCTGAAGGGACAGGCGTTCCTGCCACTGGTTCCAGAGCCCCGTCACCTGCCCATGGGGCCCCTGCTCCGAGCACTGGCCACCTGCCACACCCTCAGCCGGCTCCAAGACACGCCAGTGGGCGACCCCATGGACCTCAAGATGGTGGAGTCTACTGGCTGGGTGAGGAGGCCACGCAGGTCAGCCCCCTGCCTCCAGGCAGCTGGGCCTAAGGAACCCCACCTTGTCTTCGTTCTGGGTCTCCCAGGGTGGTCCCTGTTATGCCCACTGTCAGTAATAATGACAGCAAGACCACATGCTGGACAACTGCTGTGTGCCAGCACTCTGCTGCACAGGACTTGTGTCAATTACCCTCCCATAGCCCTAGCAAGCAAGCTTAAAACCTTCGCAGGGAGGAAACTGAGGCTGAGGGAGATTTGGAATAAGTTGTCCATGGCCAGCCAGCAGTTTGTAAGCGGCAGAGCCAGAACTTGAGTTCACCCAATTCCAAGGCACACCTTCTGCACTCCTGCACCATCCAGTCTCCCATGAGGGAAGTCTTCCATGGTCCACCTTGAATCTCTCCTGCTGTGTCTCTCCGTGGGCCAAGGCCCCCAGATGTCAACCTTCTCTACCTGCCCAGGTCCTGGAGCAGGAGCCGGCTGCAGCCTCGACATTTGGGTCCCAGGTCTTGGCAGTGATGAGACCCCCACTTGAGGAACCCCAACTGCAGGGAACGGTGAGGCAAGGGGGTGTCAGTGGCATGTGGGGTCAAAGGGTGGGCTCTACAGCCAGCCCCTCGCTGCCTCTCACCCCTGCAGGAGCCCCTGGTGCCAGCTAGCATCCTCTGCCGCTTCCCCTTCTCTTCAACCCTGCAGCGCATGAGCGTGGTGGTTACGTGGCCAGGGGCCACTCAACCCGAGGCCTACGTCAAGGGCTCCCCTGAGCTGGTGGCAGCCCTCTGCAACCCTGATACAGGTGAAGGGGGCAGGCCCCAGAATCCACTGGCTGGGCATTGGCACAGAATGGGGCGGGCTCCTAGCCTCTCTCCTTGCCCCTACCTCTTTGTGCCAGTGACACCTGCCTCTCCCTGGCAGTGCCCACCGACTTCGCCCAGATGCTGCAGAGCTACACAGCTGCCGGCTACCGCGTCGTGGCCCTGGCCAGCAAGCCGCTGCCCACTGCACCCAGCCTGGAGGCAGCTCAGCAGCTGTCAAGGTGGGCCCGTGCCAGGCATGGGCAGAGGGAGGCTCTCATGTGGACAGAACCCAGGGAAGATGCCCCTGCCTGGTGGCTGGGAGAGGGGCCTTGGCCACTGCAGGCCCTGTGACCCGGGTCGGCCCACCCTCCAGGGACACCGTGGAGCGGGAGCTGAGCCTCCAGGGGCTGCTGGTCATGAGGAACCTACTGAAGCCACAGACAGCACCAGTCATCCAGGCTCTGCGGAGGACCCATATCCGCACCGTCATGGTGACAGGTACCGTGGCCTGCAGGGCCTGGATTAGGAGGGCACAGTCTGCCCTATCCCAGGCAGAAGGATGAGGTTCCCAACGTCCCTTCCTGGGACAGCTTTTTGGGCCCCTGCTTCAAGCCAGGTCCTTTTCAGACATTTCATGAATCTTCACAGTATCCCTCCTACGTGATAATTGTCACCCCCATTTGACAGTTGAGGAAACAGATTCAGAGGAGTGGAGTGACTTCCAAAGAGCCCAGGTGTGGTGTCAGACGGCCTGAGTTCCAACCCAGCTACTCACCTGCTGGGTGACTTCTCCAGGTTCCAGTTTCCCCCTCTGAGAAATGGGATAATGATGTCAGCCTCAAAGATTGTGACAATCTCATGGAGCAAGAAAAAGAGTGAAATGGCAGGAGCTACTAGGTCTGCGTCCTGTCCCTGTCCTCCCCGCCCCTACACACACGCACACACACGCACGCACGCTGTCCACCAGAGTCACACAGCAGTCACACAGCAGTGAATGGCACGTGTAGGTAAGCCAGGTCCCCAGTTTCTCCTAAGACCCTTCCGTGCCTAGTTTTACAGACAAGGAAACTGAGGTCCAGAGATAATGTGCCTACGCTCACTCGGCTGATGATGGCAGGTGGATTTCATCTGGCCTCGGTTTTCCCGTCTATAAGGGTCAGAGTGAGGATGGCCTTCATGGATAGCATTGAATGCTGACCTTGCCCCGTACCCCACAGGGGACAACCTGCAGACAGCAGTCACCGTGGCCCAGGGTTGCGGCATGGTGGGCCCCCAGGAGCAGCTGGTCATCATTCACGCCACCCATCCTGAGCACGGTCAGCCTGCCTCCCTCGAGTTTCTGCCAGTGGAGTCCTGCATAGCCGTGAATGGGGCAGAGGTGAGGCTGACCCAATGTTCCACCCCACCCGCTGACCCCACCCCTGTGTCACCCGACCCAGGCCCCAGTTGTCCAGGGTGGGCAGGGGGAGCTAAGCTGAGCTTCCCGGGCCCCTAGGTTCCCAACCAGGCTGCAAGCTACACCGTGGAGCCTGACCCCCGACCCAGCCACTTGGCCCTCAGCGGGTCCACCTTCGGTGTCCTCCTGAAGCACTTCGGGCCCCTAGGTTCCCAACCAGGCTGCAAGCTACACCGTGGAGCCAGACCCCCGACCCAGCCACTTGGCCCTCAGCGGGTCCACCTTCGGTGTCCTCCTGAAGCACTTCCCCAAGCTGCTGCCCAAGGTAGGGCTGCCCCTGACCCTCCCTGGCCGCCCCAGGCCTCCCCTGCCCTGCTCCTGGGCTCTCACTCCTGCTGGCTGCCTCAGCCCTGCCGCCTCCCTATGCTCCCAGGTCCTGGTCCAGGGCACCGTCTTTGCACGCATGGCCCCTGAGCAGAAGACAGAGCTGGTGTGCGAGCTACAGAAGCTTCAGTGAGTGCCCCGCGGTGTGTGTGGGCCACAGCCCTGCAGTGAGCACACTCAGCTGGGCCTCCCCATCCCTCCTCGGGCATTAGAGGGCCATCACCCTCCGAGCTACAGAAGCTTCAGTGAGTGCCCCGCGGTGTGTGTGGGCCACAGCCCTTCAGTGAGCACACTCAGCTGGGCCTCCCCATCCCTCCTCGGGCATTAGAGGGCCATCACCCTCCCACAGCACCCAGCCGTGCTGTCCTGGGTCTGTCATGCTAAAAGTAATCATCACATTGTTTACTGAGCACCTACTGTGCGTCCAGCACCATGTGAGCATTAGGGTTCCGCTGTCCCCATGTTCTGCCAGCAAGTCTAGGAGGTGGTGGGGTCATGTCACAGGCCACACCTGCCCACCCCTGTCTGTCAGGTACTGCGTGGGCATGTGTGGGGACGGTGCCAATGACTGCGGGGCCCTGAAGGCGGCTGATGTGGGCATCTCACTGTCCCAGGCCGAAGCCTCAGTGGTGTCACCCTTCACCTCAAGCATGGCCAGTATTGAGTGTGTGCCCATGGTCATCAGGTGAGGTGGACTGGGCCAGCGGGCGAGGGCTCAGCAGGGCCCACCAGCCAGCTTGGGCCCCCTGACACCCATCCCCTTCTACCCAGGGAAGGTCGTTGTTCCCTCGACACGTCGTTCAGCGTCTTCAAGTACATGGCCCTGTACAGTCTGACCCAGTTCATCTCGGTCCTGATCCTCTACACAGTGAGTGTCTGCAGAGCTCCAGGCCCTTAAAGCTGGGAGCTTCCTGAGGGCAGGAGCCGTGTGTCCCCCAGTGACCTAGGGGCTACACAAGACAGAGCCTAAGCCTCTCTGTCAAGCAGGGGGGTTCACTGTGGGTAGGGGAACCTCCCCCATCAGATTTAGGCCCCCCAAGGTCAGCGTGGATGTCTTCTCCATGAGGCTTGTGAGAAGGGAGGGACTCTGAATGCAGGGCAGTGCCTCCTGTGTCAGACTGGGACCTTGTCTAAGATCAGGAGCTGTGCCTCCACCATCAGGCTGGAGGTTGCCCAGGGCAGGAGAGTACTGCCCCCATCAGATCAGAGGGTGGGAAGGATGCCTTCCCTATGACACCCCTTAAGGGCAGGGGTGGGACCTCCCCATCAGACGAGAGTCTCCCTGGGACTGGCAGGCCTCAGTTTCCCCTCTTTGCTCCCTCCCCTGCTGGCAGATCAACACTAACCTGGGAGATGTGCAGTTCCTGGCCATTGACCTGGTCATCACCACCACAGTCGCGGTGCTCATGAGCCGCACAGGGCCGGCACTGGTGCTGGGGCAGACGCGGCCACCAGGGGCCCTGCTCAGCATACCCGTGCTGAGCAGCCTGATGCTGCAGGTGGCCCTGGTGGCTGGCGTGCAGCTGGGGGGCTACTTCCTGACCACAGCCCAGCCCTGGTGAGTAGGGAGCTGACCAACACCCCCAACCCCGCACCTGCCCCATCCACCCACACTCATTCTCTGACCCCAGTGTCCCCACCCCCAGGTTCGTGCCTCTGAACAGGACAGTGCCCGCACCCGACAACCTGCCCAACTTTGAGAACACAGTGGTCTTTTCTCTGTCCAGTTTCCAATACCTCATCCTGGCCGTGGCTGTGTCCAAGGGGGCGCCCTTCCGCCGGCCACTCTACACCAACGGTGCTACTGTGGGGTGGGGTGCAGTGGGGTGATGTGGGCACAGGGAGGGAGGGGACTCTGGGGGGCTGGTGTCTGTATGGCAGGGGGTACCAGGCAAGGGGGTGAAAGACGGGAGAGAGATGGAGAGGGTGGTTTAGTGAGGACGTGTGTGTGTGCGTATGTATGTGTGCATGTGTGTGTGTGTGCGCGTGTCCCAGTGGCATGGCTCCCTGGCTAACAGATGCCCCCATCCTCAGTGCCCTTCCTGGTGGCTCTGGCACTCTTGAGCTCCATCCTGGTGGGCCTCATCCTGGTCCCTGGCCTCCTGCAAGGGCCGCTGGCATTGAGGAACATCACTGACACCTGCTTCAAGCTACTGCTGCTGGGTCTGGCTGCCTTCAACTTTGTGGGGGCTTTCATGCTGGAGGTGGGGCCCGCCCCGGGTTGTGTTAGTGGGAGGGACATGGGGGTGCTCAACCCCAGCTGCCCCGCCACACCCCCCTGCCCTCTGCAGAGCGTGCTGGACCAGTGCCTCCCAGCCTGTCTGCGGTGGCTTCGGCCCAAACGGGCCTCCAAGAAGCGCTTCAAGCAGCTGGAGCAGGAGCTGGCCGAGCAGCCCTGGCCGCCGCTGCCTGCCGGCCCCGGGAGGTAGTGCAGCCTCCATCGGACACATGGACACTGGATATGGATCTCCCTGCCTCTTGAGCCGCCAGCTGGACCCCTCTCCAGAGACGTCACCGCCACCACGTCCTGCAGCCCTGTGGTTGGCGGTTGCCACACTTCTGCCCGGAGACTGCCTGGCCTAGCCTTCCCTGCCCCCACCCTGGGAAGTGCTGACCATTGTCCCCACGTCAAACCATCCCATGTAGAGACAGCAGCCACCAACTCCACTCAGAGCTGCTATCACTGTAGCAAATAAAGTCATGATATTTTCCTGGCTCGGCTGGGTCCGTCTTGTGCGTGAGCACCGCGGACCTTCCTACCTGCCCAGGAGGAAGTGCTCACCCCTCCCAGGTACCCAGCTGCAGCCCCTGGCACCCCCTGATTTCTCAGATCACAGTGGCAGCTAGCTGGTAAGGGGATCCAAAGCTAACCGGCCACCCCCACCCCCTGATTAGCATTTTATGCACATTGGCATTATTGTCATTTTGTCCTCACTACTGTAGGGTACTAACCTCATTTTACAGATGACGAAACTAGCTGGTAAGGGGATCCAAAGCTAACCGGCCACCCCCACCCCCTGATTAGCATTTTATGCACATTGTCATTATTGTCATTTTGTCCTCACTACTGTAGGGTACTAACCTCATTTTACAGATGACGAAACTCAGGCTTAGAGGTCACAGAAGTAGTCAGAAGTGGGACCAGATTGCTTTGACTCCAGCTTCCACGCTCTTAACCCTCCTACACTCCTTGGGGGAAGGAGGAGAAATGGGCTCGGCATTTAGTGCCAACTAAATGCCTGTGCCCTTCTCTTGCCCTCCCCCTGCCACCCCCACAGCCTGAGACATATTTGTGGTCCAGTTCCTCCCTCAGATAAAGTCCGGGCTCTGAGCCCACGTCTCCAGCCAGAACCACACGCACCGTCCCCCGGGGAAGGGTGGATGTCTCTGACCTCATCCCACCAGTGGGCCACTAGCCAAGCCCCTCTGCTCTGGAGTCATCTGGGCAGGGAAGGACAGGAAAGCAATGCTGTTTCCTGCCCTCCAAAGGCTCCTGCCAACCTCATTACTGGAACCCCTGGTGCTATCCCCAGGCCTGCCAGAGTAGGAGCTCTGTAAGTGCTGAATCAAGCTGGGGAGAAGGGAGGTGGGTGGGTAGAAGGTCACCTGTGATCATCAGGAACATCCACAGACCTCTGCATTGGGCACTGAATCACCAACCAGTGACAGTTCAGGGTGACAGATGCTGTCTAAGGGAAGGCTGGAGAACACAGAGGCCTGGGTTCAAATCACTCCTCTACCCTTAGCCGATGATTCATGAGTATTGGCCAGGCACAAAGGCTAACGTGGTGAACAAAATACACGATCTCAGTCTGCATGCAGCATGTACACAACCTGGCATGAGAGGCTGGCAGGGAAGGGGCAAATCTCCAAGGACATACTGTTTTAGAAGAGCGAATATACCCACTACCCCGTCCCCAAAGTGTTGTCACCTCTGCTTGGGTACTGAGGACCAGGGTAGTGGGAAGAAGCAACAGAGGATCTGGGAGCCAGGATACTGGAGTTGTCAGCTTTGGGGCCTCAGTTTCTCCCTTTTGTCAAGTGGAGGGAACTGCATTTCTGCAGGGAGGTTTCCTCTCCTACTGCAGTGGGATTGCACCTGGCAGCAGTGAAGGGTTAAGGGAGGGCAGAGAGGGCTGGGCTGGCCCCAGGGTCCACTGCTTTCCAGGTGACAAAAGTCCCTGCCGTGATGCAATAGACACAAGAGTGGGGGCTGATATTCATTCATTCAACAAACCAGCTCTGGGGAACAAATGATGCACAGGACGCATTTAGTACCAACTAATAGACTCAGTCTAAGGGGGAGGCAGGTGGGGGAAGTGCATGAGTGGGGGCGAGGAGATCAAATGGCAAGGGTCTAGATCAGGAGGCGTTCCGATCTCCTCCCCCGAGCCTGCAGCCCCCACAACTCTCATTTCTGTCTTAGGCCTAGGCTGCCATGGCCAGGCAGGGCTGAGGACAGCCCCAGAGGCAGGGGACCTACAAACCCCAGCCCCTCACCCCCACCAGCCTGTCTCTCCCAGGAGAATCGGGTGCACAGCTCATTCATTCATTCCACAAATGTTTACTGAACTGCTGCTCTGACCTGGCACTGCGCCTAATGAGCAAGCTGAGGATGAGCAAAAGCAGATCTCGTCCCTGTCTTCATGGGGCCGAGAAGACGGCTGCAGGCAGCACAGCAGTAAGCTTGAGAGCACGTAACTAATGGGGACAAAGGGAAGGCTCCGTGTGGAAGGGAGGGTTCAGTCTGTGACCCGAGGAGACCTCAAGAAGTGTTCTGGGAGGAAGAAACAAACTGGGGAAAGGCCCTGTGGCAGGAGGTGGGGGGTTAACGAGAGACTTTCTAAAGGCCAGCCATTGTGGCTGGAGGAGGATGAGGAGACAGAGCCAGACCACCATGAAAGGCAGGGCCCTTGGAGACCCAAGGTACCACGGGAAGCCCCTGAATAATAAGCTTTAAGCGGAAAGGGCCATGATCTGAGGGCGTGGGGGAGGGCCCACGTGGGAAGGTCCAGATTGGAGGTTATTACAGAGTCCAGGAGAGAGATGATGGTGGCTTATCCAGCGGGAGCGGTGGGCAGATGCGGAAATGGCATTTATGAAGTAGAATTAGTAGTTGGGTGCTGGATGCATGCAGGGGCCGAGGGCAGGGGAGGAAGCCTGGGTAAGGGGAGGCTGTGGGGCCACTCCTGGGTCTGGGGGAGGGTTTGGAGGTCGTGAATTTGGAGTTGGATGCTTGTGGAATCTGACGTGTTTTGGGGGCATTCATGGGGCCAGGCCCGATGGCCCATGGGACACGTGGGCTGCCTGGTCAGGGCTGAAGGAAAGGCTGGTGCTGGAGGGAAGCGCTGGCTAAGGAGCCCCAGCAGGCCGAGCTGGAGAGGCGGAGGACAACCGGGCACGGGAGCGTCCTGGAAGCTGGGAGCAGCCGAGGCAGAGCCGGGCTTCGCCCACCGCACAGCCCGGGTGAGGGCCCGAGCTGATGAGGAGAAGGCGCCTGGCACCGTGTGAGGCGCTGCACGCGTGTGAGGCCGGCTGGCTCCGGCGTCGCCTCCTCCCCCCGGGGCGTCCCGCAGCCGAGGGCC